GGCATCGAAAACTCGTCTCAAAACAATCAAAATGAGCTCCAATTATTTTGGCGGCCTGAAATTAATTTTTTCTGATCGAAAAAATAGACTGATTGATTTTTTGATCGAAAATTTCGATGATCTACGCAGTTTAGTGGTTTGCTCTAGATTTGGCGCCAAAAATGAGAGGTATAAAAGGGCAATCATACCAGTCATTGCGTCATTGTAAGTGTTTTGTGTGCTCCGAGGTGGTTGGTTCGGTTCAGTTGGGTCGTCGATTGCGTTTTATTTTGTTGGGTTCGGTTCGATTCTATTCGCGTGTTTAGAATTTGGTTGATGCTCGTCATTGTTACTATATTGTTACTTTACCAGCTACTATATTGTTACTATACCAGTTACTATATTTAACAATATAGTAACTGGTATACTGTTACTGTACGCTGCAGTCATGCAATCGTCGTTACCACAATCGTATAGGGTTGTTCATGATTCATGGATTTTCATGATCCATGACCTGAAATTGCATGATTTTTAAGGTATTCCAGGATCCGCGTTCATTCTAATTACTTTATTTACTAGGCGTTATTTGCTACGCGTTACTGGATCATACACAGTCTACTGAATGTTTTGAAATTTAAAATTTTGAAATTTCTATCAAAATTTAGAAAAAAATTATTCCCCTACAGCTTGCAGATTGTCCTGAAATTAAAAATTTTTGTGGTACCAAAATCAATTCAAAACTAATCAATTCTTTAGGACAGCAATTGAATAGTAATGAGAGTAAATCAATTAAGTGTTATTGCAGCACTATTGCAGCTTGTCTTATATGCCGGAATCAATTCGTCTTTACCATAGCAGTAATATTTTAAAAATATAATTTTTTTCAGCTCCTAAATAGAATTTTTTAAATCGATTCATTTTTTCAATCTTTATTTTTCGCCAAAAAATTCACTTTTGGTACCACAATTTCAGGCCAACCCCTCAAAAAATAATTCCCTCTATTACTCTATAACAGTTACATAATTACTTTTTAAAATGATATACTGCTGCAGCAACAGCAGTAGCAGCTATATAAAAAGTACATTCGGTTTACATACAAACTAAAATTTGATGTAAGATTGACAATATAAGTGTGCTGAATGTGTATTTGATTACTTCGTTCGAAAATTTGTTTTGTTCTTCGTGTGTTTGCATAATAGTCGATATCCCCCCCAAAAAAAAAATTCGCTTGTGTGGTACTTACTGAAATGTAATTTGGGATTTTTTTCCGCGATTCGTTTTCTGGAGCCAAGAGTATCGATTTTGAATTTTTTTTCATTTTAGCAGTGTGTTCTCTTCTCTTGTAGTTTACTTACTTTGGCTGTTAACTGTTAACTGGATGTAAGGCAAAGAGTAAGTAAGACTACTCTACTCTACTCTTTGAAAGGCTGTCTTAGTATATACTTACTAGTTAGATGAATAGATATGGATAGATATGGCTATGGCTGATGATANTATAGTACAAATGGTAGTGGAAGCAGGATGGAATGGGGTGAGACTTGGCTGTATATATGTGTTTTGGATGCGTGTTTGAGTTGAGTTGTTACATTTGGAGCCTTTTTAGGCATGGGTTAGCCTAGGCTTATTCGGGGCAGCCGTCTTGGGTCTTGTCTTGGCTTGTTTCAGGCTGTCTGGCCGTCTTGGGACGTCGTATTGGCCTGTTTTTGGTTCGGAGTTGTCTAGCCGTCTTGGCCCGGCCTGTTTTGGCCTATTCTGACCGTCTGGTCATGTCCTCCGGCTGTTCTGACCGTTTTGACCTGTCTTGACTTGTCCTAATCTGTCCTGGGCGTCTTGGCCGTTTTGGCCTAGCTTGTCCTAGCCTACTCCGGCCTATCGGGCCTATTTTGACCGACCGTCTTGTCCGGTCCTGTCCTCC